CATTAGCACCTCTAGTAATATATTTACTGAGAAAAATGGTAACGTGTTCAATACTTATTTTACCCGCTGTATATAAAAAATCATTTGTCCCTTCTGCAATTACTCTATTAAACAAGGCTGCATAGTTACCCACCCCCCTCCCCATTTCAGGACTGTTTTAAATTTGGTTGTTTTGTGTGGATATGGGTTTTATCATAGCACTATTGTCATTGATGTCTTGCCTTTTTTTAACTTATTTTTGAATGTATATTTTAACATGGAGCCCTGTCAAAGATGATTTTCTGTCACCTTTGGGACAGACAATAAAGTCTATCCAACCAACCAACCAACCAACCAACCAACCAACCAACTAATTAATCCAGTTCGAAGTTCACAACATTTCAAGTGTTCAGACCTGGTACAAATCCCATACTGAAAGCAGAGACTTAGAGTTACTATTTATGACTTGTGAAACCTTTATTCTACTCATAAAAATAATTTCAAAAAATGATTTGTGTGCATTTTTGCAGAAGAACCACATTACTTAAAACTTTTCAAACCTGGACTAGATTATTATGCACTTGAAGCAGAATCTCTAAAACACAGTGATTCACGAAACCGTAATTCTGTTTGTGTTTCAAGACCCAACACAAGAGCTAAAATGTATTTTTTTATTTCCCCTCTCACAAATAAAATGAAGGCTTTTAAACTCACAAACTGTGTTTTAGAAATCTGCTTTTAGTTCAGATTAATTTAGTTCAGCTTTGAACTTTCTGAGCTGTTCAAGAAAAGACAATTAAAAACTTAGTGGAATGGCCCTTTATCAAACTGGAATCAGAAACTAACTTCAGCGTCAAACCTCGCTGCCAAGTTTTATGTTGTTCAGTCAGAAGAGCTGTTGTGTTTAATGTGAAAGCTCTGCTGACGGTTTCTATTTTAAAGTCAAATAAAGTGAGACTGACTGAGAAACGAGTCTTAAAACACGAGGTGACGGTTAATAATCGCTTCTCTYAAGGGTTTCTAGTTTAATCCGTCTGATTAAACACAAGTTATGTAAGTTGTTCTCACAGCTGTGGCTTGATTGTGAGCAACAGGAAGTGTGTGACACTTGTTGTGTTAGGTTTGGAGATACTGTTCATCACCCTGTGTGTGTGTGTGTGTGTGTGTGTGTGTGTGTGGGAATAAATGCAAAGTCATCCTCAGTGGAGCCACAAGAAGATGGGACAGGACATGCCGGGATTTTCATTGTGTCCTTTTTTTAAGATCTCTGACACAAGATGAAACTTTTAGCAGATATGCTCGGATTCTMCCTCTAATCCTGCTGAGTCGTTCAATTTTCAACCCGTTTGGTAACTCGGAGTCTTAAAGTTCACGGTGGGGCAACTCTGCGTGTCGAGGTCAAAACCTTTTTCGTAACAATTGAAGAAAGGAGAAGCTGGAAAACAGCTTTCATTGTGGGAACTTCTCTGCTTCCTGTAAAAGAAAACAAACCTGCAATGAGGAGGAGAGTGGGCTGAGTGATGTCACTGCAGCAAATGTTGTTAAAGTGTCTGTGACATTAAATTTAAGTGATATATTTGAGCGCATTTTTGGAAAGATAACATTAATGATGAATTGCAAACAAAATTTCACGACACTGAAATGAGCAGTGGTTGAGATATTCACATGAACAGAAACAGGAAGTGATGTCAAAGGGGA